ATTAATGAGGAAGGTATCTGAAAGATATACTTGTAAAAGCTAAAGTCAGAGAAGTAAAGGCTATAATCACGTGGGTGGAAAGTGTGAGTCAGGCTTGTCAACCCCTTATATATGAAATTTCATGTAGAAATTATTTTGTATTATTGACTGATAGCATAAAGCACTTTGGGTTTTTTCTTTCTATCTTAATTGTTTCAAATGATCATACATGTGCAAATTTAAAATCAAATTTTAGAATTAGAGTTTTTTCTGACAAATGCCAATTAATACGTAATTTGCCTTGAATGAGTTGTGCTACAATGTTGGTACAATGCCAAGTTAATTCTTCTTTTAGTCATTTATTATAGTTCTGCAATCTATATGATGCCATTTTACTTTCTGACTGACTCAGGACTAATAACCAAGCAACTGCCTTACTAACTGAGAAACTAGCTAATTAACTGTCTGACATACAAACGTAGCAACTGACTGACTGAGAAACTGACTAATTTACTTACTTACTAATCAGCTGACTAGATAACTGAGCAACTCAGTAACTGGCTAACTGTCTAACTTACTGAATGACTGACTAACTGAGTCACTAGCTGATTGTTTAACTGATTGACTGTCTGGCTGACGGAATGACTGATTGGAAAACTAACAGAATGACTGACTGATTGAACACCTCACCAAGTGTCTGACTAACTTCAAGCAACCAACTGGCTAACTGAGCTGAAAAGGCCACTGACTAGCTGACTGGCTACCTGACTGACAGACTGACTAATTGACTGAGAGACTGACTGTGTAAGGAGGGATAAGGGACTGTTATCAAAGAAGGAGTACCGTTTGCTAGTACAGTCAAGGGGTGGGTGTTAATTATTATAATTATATGTGGTAAATTATTCCAACATGTTTGCTCAGTGCTCACTGGTATTAATGAAAATGTGATGCAGTCAAACATTTTTAATATGGGCACTAAGTGGACCATATTAACAAGTTGTCTGAATTGAACAGGTTGAATTTAGAGAAAGATTAAGGCTAGGGACAAAGCAAACTGTCTAATAATAAGCTTTCTGAACTAAACAAGTGTTTGTAAAGAAATGTTTGACCCTAACGGGAAATTAGTCTGTTCTGAAAATAACTGATGAACTTCATTGAATATTTGAAACTTTTGTTTCCATATCAGATGCCACAGAAAGACCGAACAAGGACCTTCATGAGCCAAGAGCCTCTGTTATCTTCAGTAATGTAAGTGCTGTATGTTTTGTATTTTAATCGAGCTCTTAAGTAAACCAGATAAACAGAACTGTTTGGTTTAAAGTTTCATAAAGTGACTGTTTGACCAACTGACTGATTGACTGACTGATCAACTGATTAATTTGCTTAATATTCTTCTAACCAATCAACTAACCATTTTGACTGACTGACTGAGCAACTTAGTTACTGGCTGACTGTCCACTTGTAACTGACTGGCTGACTGACTGACTGGCTGTTGGAATGACTGATTGAGCAACTGACTGACTGATAGTGCAATAGGCCACTTGCACTAAGAGGTCACATGACCAATGCTTCCTTTAAACAATTGGTTGGAATCTTGGTGATGCCAAAAATTGACAGAGCACATAAAAATTATCTTACTTCCAAAATTTGAGAGGAAACTCATTTAAGGGAGATATTTTATGGCACTTTGATTTTTCAGCAAAGTAGTATGATTTGTATTGGCTGCCATGTTGGAGGGCATACTCTTGCCCTCCAACATGGCAGCCAAAACTACTTTTTGCTTATATCTTGTTAAACGTGTGTCATAGTTATTAACCCTCAGATGTGCTGTAAATGTTACCACATCATCTTTTCAACATTTTCCCAGAAGTTTAAGTCCAAAATTTGTGTTCCGAAAGAGGTATATGTGTAATTCATAATTATTTTAAAAATGACATTTTGGTCACGTGACCAGCTACGAACTTACTCACTTTAAGAAAATGGTGCAGGTTTGAAAAACCAAATCACTATTATTTTGTTTAAGATATGACCCACTAATCGTTTTTCAAAAGCAAAATCATATAACTTTCATTTTCTTAAAAGCAATGTCACATGACCTCTTAGTGCAAATGGCCTATTGGGTACTTGACCGGCTGGCGAATGACTGATTGAGCAACTGACTGACTGACTGACTGACTGTGCATTTGGGTACCTGACTGGTGGACAGAATGACTGAGGCCCAGTTCAGACGTAGTGCTTCTGCCGTGCTGAACTTAATTGTAATTTGGTTCGACTGTAGCACGGCGGGGAAACAACTTTGATTCAAACGTTATGCCAGAGTCAAACCAAATTCAGGATTTACTGATGCCTCGTAACAATTCTTCTCCCAACTCCCCGTGGGAAGGCAATCTCGCCAAAATACATATATAAAATTTATGAATTTTGTTTAGCGTGGCAGAAGCACAATTTGAATCGCTGCCGTGCCAGAGCCGTGTAGCACGGCAGCGCTTGTCGAACTTAATTGCTTGCCGAACTTAATTCAAAAGTTTGATTCAGACGCCGTGCTTCTGCTGTGCTTTAGTCGAACTTAATTCCTGAATTTAGTTCAGCACCGCAGAAGCACGACGTCTGAACTGAGCCTGATTGAGCAACTGACTGAATGACTGACTAAACTGAGTAACTTACTAAGTAACTGCAACTGACTGACTGATTTGGGGACTGTCTGGGGTCCACATAGCAGGGTCAATTTAATAAAACTTTTACAAGTGTAATTTAAGTGTAAACCATTGTTTTAGAGTCTGTGTTAATCACACTCTGAACAAATGAACTTCTTTACTCCATTCCAATAAACTTCAAGCTATACATAATCAAACCAAATAATAAATACAAAACAAGGAAATGAACACAGAAAAAACCCTAAAGAAATAAACCAAAGGAATTATAACCACACACACCTGACGGTGAAGGTATTATCCGAACAGTAAAGGATAATACATAAAATACGGTAACAGTATACAAGCGATCCTCAAATAATGGTCACAAACGTTACACTAAACAGCAGGATAAGTGACTGGGAACTTAAATTCAACCCAAAAAACCACTGGTCCTAAATCAGTGGAAACAGTCAGAAAATTATATTGCTACATCTGTACACTTGTAAAATTATATTTGTAAAAGTTATATATAATTGATACCAGAAGTGATATTTGCTAGTACAGTCAAGGGGTGGGTGTTAATTTATTATAGAGCGGTTTTCACTTGACTGTCGTAAAACCAAAACCAAAGTAAATACACTAGCCAACCAAAGGGCGTAGTAGACTAAAACCAAAACCAAAACCAAACCAATTCCTCAATTACTTTCGACAGTCAAGTGAAAACCGCTCTAATGATATGTGGTAAATTAGTCCAACATTTTTGCTCACTGGTATTCATGAAAATGTGATGCAGTCAAACCTTTTTAATATGGGTACCAAGGGGGCCATAGAAAGTGTCCATATTAACTGGATGTCTGTATTAAGCAGCTTGAATTTAGAGAGGGCTTTCTTTCCTCAGGGACAAAGCAAAATGTCCATAATCTATAAAGTTTCTGTATTAGGTGGGAGTCCAGAAAGCAACGTTTGAATGTTAATGGGAAATTGGTCTGTTCTGAAAATAACTGAAGAGCTTCATTGAATATTTTAAACTTTTGTCTCCAGATCAGATGCCACAGAAAGACTGGACAAGGACTTTCACGAGTAGAACCTCTGTTATCTTCAGTATTGTATGTGCTCTTTCTTTTGCGTTGTAATCCAGCTCTTGAGCGAACCAGATAAACAGGATTGTTGGCCAGGTGATTTCAAAGTATGATTAAGCTAATCCCAGAGAAAGCTGTCATAACATAGTTATATCGTACCTCATTCTTTCATTTCACAGTTATTTCACCATCAAGTGTACCACTTTTGGGAGTAGAAGTTTATCAATCTTACTTTTTCCAGTAAAACAACAACTACAACAACAATAACAACTAAAAAAAACGTGTGCAAAATAAAATGCAATATAAAAGAGCAAAGTTCCAAAATATATTAAATCAAGCTACAGTTGTACAGCTTGGTCAACATTATTATGGTGAAAATAAAATAATTTAACCCAGGATCATCCAATTGAGTGTAGTTCTGAACAGCTACAGCTGTTGGGGATTGAGTGACTGGCATTTCAAAAGTGTATAAAAGAAATCAACACGATTGAACAAATATTTTATTATTGAATTCTGAATAAATAATATTAGTACTTCAAGACCAAGCAAATAAAATCATTATTTTTAAGGGATGCATTCAGCATTTCTGTTGAACTTTGTATGAATTGGACATTTTACATTAAATAAATGCTTGCAATCGCTAGTTTATGTCTACAGGGAATCACAATACAAAGACAGCTGAAATGCATTTAAATCTTTTTGGTTTCAAGAACAAAAATAATTTGATTGATTGCTCAAATTCCAAGAGACATGCACTTGTTGGTGAAGTACTCATGATCAGAAAACGTAAATGCAAAAACTGTGGTCATTATATGTTTTCTCCTGGATTAGCATTTATCAACTTTGTTCAACTGTGTCACAACATTTAAACCAATAGCCAAGTTCTGCTGATATAATAATAATAATAATAATAATAATAATAATAATAATAATAATAATAATAATAATAATAATGATAATTACTATTATATATTATTATTATTATTGTTATTATTATAGTACCTGTTAGTGCAGATATGCAATCCATATTGAACCCTTCAAATTTCTTACCCTTATTGATCTATTCAAATTACAGTCTGACTTAATAATTGAATAGGATAACTGTGATGACAAAGATAACTAGCATGACTAATATAACTGGGATGACTGGAATTACTGGAATAAATAACATAACTGAGATGACTAGGATGACTACTATGACTCAGATGACCGCAATGACGGGGATGATACTGAAGACTGGGATGACAAATATGACTGGGATTTTTTGGATTACTAACATGGCTAGGATGACTGGGATGACTAGGGTGACTCAGATGATAAGAATGACTGGGATGGATAAGGTGACTGGAATGACTGGGATAACTGGAATGACTGGGATGGCACTGCTGTCTGGGATGACTGAGATGACAAAGATGACTGGAATTTTTTTGGGATTACGAACATGACTGGGATGACTAGGACGACTGGAATGACTAAGATGACTGGGACGACTAGGGGGGGTGTCTGTAAAACGCGGACCGGATACCTGCGGATGGCGGATGCAGATGGGAAAATGCGGATAGAAAAAAAAACGCGAAATGTGGATGGTACAAAAAGAAATAAACAAACAAACAATTAAGGAAAGAAATCATTCTTTCAAGTCGCTGTCACATGGTTGAACCCTTCACTTAAATACAGAAAGTGATGCCAATAGTTGACACAGTTTTGTACCCTGTAATTCTTTCATTAATGTCACAGAAATAAGGACGCTCCGTTCCTCCTCCTTAAATGCACTCATACTTGGTGCACTTCTCCTTTGAGTGTTTAGCCTAAGGTTTGCAGGCAAGGTAAACAGCTCAAAAAATCGGCTAGCAAAGGTTCGCTTATTTTGCACTGGCCCCGTTTAATATTCTTCTCTTTACCAAATAACGAGCCAGTGGTCCCTGCAATCACGGGTCAGAATGCGGAATGTTACCATACCAGCATCCTAAAGCGGTGTAATTCACGAAGCAGTCTGTCTTTACTTTCGGGAGTGATAGCTATTTTTTTTTAACATTTACTTTATTAGGAATTTCATTGTTATCGCGCTAAGAAGGGGAGGCATGATTTCTTTGCTCTCACTGGATATAGTGTACTCAACTTACAGAAAGAATATTCTCGGGGCAATCAATTCAAGACTTATTTGTTTGAGCGGCTCAAGACAGAAAAAATTAGAGTATCAACCAGAAAAAAGGCCGAATGTTCCGATTTGGCAGATGCCAATCAACTCCGCCTGATCCGCCTATCATGGGGATTTATTTTTTACCTGTTCTACCCTTTGGGAATTTATAAGTGCACGAATAATGAGTTCGAATTTTTAAAATTGCAAATTATACTGCAGATTGAAAGAAAAAAACAGACTTCTTGATCAATCGCAAAAATTATTTTCCGACAAGGTGTAAAAATAATCTGCAAAATTAAACTCCCGCAAAAAAGTGTCGCTTGGAAACGCATTAATGAAGGCTACTTTCTGTTTCATTTGTTTTTGTTTCGAATTTTTCTGCCAGCAAAATAGTTTCGAAAACATATTCTCAGTGAGTTTTTAGAACGTCTGTATCGAGCAACTTAAAACTCGTTTTTAAAAGCGTGAAGGGCAGAATTGGGAATCGAAAAATAATTTATATAATATTCGAATTATTTGGCCCGCTCCCGTCTATCTGCGAAGCAGCAACCAAACATATTTTTTCTACATGGAAAGATGTTTAATTATTGCAAATCAGAAAAAAACCAAGCTGCTTCTTAAGAAGACTATATAAATTTTTTAGCTATGTCTACACCAGATCAGCATTTTTTATATGTTGATGGAAGCTTTTCGTAAAACTGTGAAAATGGAACGAAGGCCAGAAAAATGACTCCGTTGAGGGTGCGGCATATTGCTTGAAAATGAATTTCTGTAGAAAAACCCTCATTAAACAAGAGCGATTCACACAAAACCGAGAGGAAATTGTGTAACAGAAGACAACTAGTGTAACAGTAGCTTAGCTTTTGATCTCAAAAACGGGCTTCTGCAGGTGTCTCCAGTTCACAATCACTCTCTGAACTGTCTGCTATGGCAAAGTCGACCAGAGTCAAGGCAGAGCGAAAGTTGATTTGTATTATGAGCCCATTTGAAGATCAGGCTCCTTTGTGAGGAAACATGGCGATTTAGCGGAGGCAAGCGTAAAATGGGCGACGCAAAGCAGGCCGATTTTTTCACGTAGCTCACCCTATTTTTTGGTTTAGTTTGTTTTCTCTAATTTTCTTTTAATTTGAGGAAATTTAGTCCTTTTTTGTTGTTGTTGTCCGCACAACGTTATACACGTTTTGTTTTGTTAAGAAATGTTTTAGTGACACAATTTATATATACAAATTTGTGTTTTTTTGTTTTTGTTATTGTTCAAATTTTTTTCTATCCTCATTTTCCCATCCGCATCCGCCATCCGCAGGTATCCGGTCCTCGTTTTGCCTCACCTCCTTTGCTAGCCGATTTTTTGAGCTGTTTACGTTGCCTACAAGCCTTAAGCTAAACACTCAATGGAGAAGTGCACCAAGTATGTGTGCATTTAAGGAGGAGGAACGGAGCGTCCTTATTTCTGTGACATTAATGAAAGGAATTACAGGGTACAAAACTGTGTCAACTATTGGCATCACGTCCTGTACGTAAGTGAAGGGTCCAAACATGTGACAGCGACTTGAAAGAAAGATTTCTTTCCTTTGTTTGTTTGTTTATTTATTTTTTTGCCATCCGCATTTCTCGTTTTTTCCTTCTTAATTTTTTTGTTATCCGCATTTTTTTCCATCCGCATTTTTTCATCCGCATTTTCCCATCCGCATCCGCCATCCGCAGGTATCCGGTCCGCGTTTTACAGACACCCGACTAGGGGGACTAGGATGACTGGGATGACTAGGGTGACTAGGATGACTGAGATCACTAGGATGACTTGGGTGACTGGGATGACTGTGATCACTAGGACGGCTTGAATGGCTGGGATGACACTGCTGACTGGGATGACTGATATGACTGGGGTTTTTGGGATTACTAACATGACAGACAGGCCGATGTTTGAACTGACCTGTATGACAGCTTGAGGGTCTGAACAATTCACAGTTGCCTTATTTTGGATTTGTATTTTAATTGTATAGTTGGTAGACTGCATATCTGTGGTAACTCGTATATTCGTTCTCTTTGAACTTGATGGGTGCATTTCAAGTCTCTCCTTGCTTCAACCAGCAATTTCCCAGCATGGAAATACCTCTTAGGAATGACTGAATGCACATGATGATGTGCAGTGTAGTGCTTCTTGCTGGCTGCTAATTGTTTCAACGATTACAACAGTTATACAACCAATCAAATCATCAGCCAACCTAAGACATCATTTGATGGGGGGTGGGGAGGGGCGAATGAGGGTGGGAGGAGAGGAGAGGTTGTTCTTAGGTAAAGCTGCAGTTGTGGCAAATTGGCAAATTTTAAAATGTGTTGTTTTGTTTTGGAGTTTGAATTTCTGACTGACATTCATCACTGCAACAACTTACCTTCCTACCCTTAAAGGCGATTTTCATTTCCGCGTTCGGGGAAAGTTATTCCATAGTTTTTATCACAAGGAAATAAGATTTGAAATGGGTGAACTGGATTATTCCTCTCATTTGTTTTAACTGATTGTGAATTTGAATTGCGTGCCTAACCTTCAAACTTCTTTGTGGAAAACAACAGCAAGTGCTTTGAGTATGAATCTTGTGGCTCTCATTCTGACATTCGTTGAATTAATTTTACCAAAAAAATCAGTCTACTGCTTGCAAAATGGAACAAGAATTACACTGCAACAACAACAGCAACAATGAAATTATTAAAGTGGAGTCGCTAAAATTTCTGCCGCGGTGTTTTAAAGTACGTTTGATAAGCTCCGAATAAAACTGGGCGTGGGAAATTTAGTGTACTTCTAAAGAGGTAAAGTGAGGAGATTTTGAAAATTTGCACTCATCTTTTTCAACTCCAGAGTGATCAACATGTTATTTCTCTTTACTACTTTGAGTAAATTACCAAGCAGAAGGATGTTGAAAATAAGCATAATTATGATGAGTGGGGAGGCTTTGTCTTGATCAACTGTCAAATTCTCAGAACTGATGGTAAAGAAAATCCGCAGGAGTTAGTAAAGAAAATGACATGTTGTAACTTGGGACTGAAAGTTCACATTAACCTTAAGGCCTTCAGATAAGCAGTTTGTTTTGCAATAATCATGCAATCCATAAATACATGTGCAAATTGAAATTCTGATTAACAACAACTCGTATCGAACTTGGAGTCTTTTTTTCGGCCGTTATTTAGGTTCGTCACGCAAAGGCGTGAGACCCAAAAACGACCTTGAAGAAGATCACACGCAAGTTTGACATCGGATTTAGAGCATAGTAAAGTTTTCTGTTAGTTTTTTTTTCTATGTGCATGTATTTTGTGAGATGCCGTTAAATGAAAACAAGCCGCTTACTGAAAAAGTCGGAAATTTATTCCCTTTTGTTTTTCCAACTTTTTGAGCTCAAGCAATCAGAAATGAAGACGGCAACAACAATGGCACCTACCAAAAGGAATCAAATTGCACGCTCGCTTTCGTATGCAAAAAAGGAATGTAATGATCAGAAGTTTAAGGTTTTTAGAACAAACATTTAGCCATGTAATAGGATGTAATATCAAATTCAAAACGCGCGCGTACAAAGTTCAAATTAATAGGTAAATTCAAAATATTGAGAAAATTAAAACAACATGAGGTTTTCCTAGCTCGCTCGCTTTCATTTTTTTGCACATTTATTCGTTTTGGTACGCAAAGCAACAAGAAAAGTAATTAAAAAATTCAAGGATTTGAGACGGAACACAAACATTTAGCCATCAAATATCCAATTCAAATCGTGCGCGTACAAAGTTTAAATTAAAAGGTAAATCAGTTAAAATGCTGAGAAAATTTAAACAATAAAATATGATGTTCGCAAAACTCCTACTACTTTTTCAAGTGCCGATCTTGTTGCCGTCGCTTTGTTGATTGCTTAAAGCTTTATAGTATGTTAAGCAGAACTTGGCTTATTGTAAGGCTTGGACAAACAGTGAAACATTACGCACAGTAACTTTGCACTGTGTTTCTACTCCAATAATGAGTTACAACGTAACATAACAACGCAGTATTTTTTTATTTTTGCTTTGGAACATTGCGGACAAGGTTTTTAGGGGTGGAAACACAGTGTAATTTTAAAGCTGGGTTTTACTAGCGGAATACCACAGGCTTAAGTTTAGTGAGTTCATCAACAGCTGAAGTTTATTAAAATGCAAAACTGAAGGTGTGAGCACAAAGATATGGTGAACGGACGAACTTATTCTTGTTTTCTCGTCGTTAAAGATTAACACAACAGGAGCTGAGCACAACAAAACAAACATGGTTTTGGTTTACCTTGCTTTTTCTTATGTTGTGTTAATTCATAGCGCGGAAAAATATAATAAGTGCGTTGGGTTCCTATGTTTGTGCTTATTCTTTTGTTGTTGATGTCTTCACTATTTACTGACGTTTGTGTTCATGTCGTTAGTGAAAACTAGTCTTTACTGCGCGTAATGTTTCACTGTGTTCGAGCCTTTAGGGTATTTATCTGGTTCACTCAAGTAGTTGGATTACAAAGTAAACAGCAGAAGATAACAGTATTTTATTGACGAATAAAGCTTGTCTCTGTTGTCCATTTATTGATAATAAAAAAAAATGAAAAAAAAAAAAGTCATCTAGCCTCCCCCGTCCCTGCCGGGCTGCTTCCACTCTGCTCCGAGTCGGTGTTCATTCTTCTGTCCTCATTTGATATTCCAACTTTAAAATCCTGGTCTGTTTTATCTGATCCCTTCATTCAAGCTGGGGGCAGTTGGACACTTAAAAAATTCAGCCGTTTGTTCCCAAGTGGGGAGGGCAGCGTGAAGAAAAGTGAGAGTTTGCTCCTCATGCTATCAGGGTCTCAGTCAACTTTGTCACAACACCACACCAAATTAATTTGGAATTCAAATTAGCCAAAATAATTTGTAGTGAAAATTATAATTTTGCTTTGAAAGTGCGTGTCTGCAAAGTCAATATATCGTGAAAAATATTCAGAGTCGTGGACAAGAAAAAAGAGGGCGCAAGACAGTGAAACTCAGTCTTCAGTGGGTCTCCGTCATCGATGCCCAGAAAACTGGACAAAGCAAAGCGCTGGTCTGACCGACCTTCATCCCACAAACTTCACCAAAGAGCACAAGTCAATAATAATCTCTCCTCTGCGAAGCTACTGATGTTGGATTTCTCTTGTCCTAGTTATTGTTTAGTGTTTAGTGTTTCAACGTACGTTAAAGCAAATTTGGAAGTGAAAATTACGCGTCGTTTCTTATTGCTGTTATTCGGAAGTCGAAATTATCTGAAAGTAATAAAGCGAAACATTAAGAACCAAATTTATGCAGTACTGCTACAATGCCACGTAAATTGCGCTTTAAATATTTCGTTTTATATCTTAAAATTGGCTGCCCTTATAATCTAATGTTGAATTCGTTTAAGTCAGTACCTCGTAGGCTCGCCGTCAAATTTCGCCAAACAGAAAGGATTAAAGCGATCTTGCAGATGATTTAAATTTTTGCTTGTTTTGCTTCCCGTAGAAATAATTCGATTAATTCTCTCAATGAAATAAAGGTTTATTTTTGCCTTAAGAAATTAGTGCGAAAGTAATGTGAAGGTAGTAAAATTTAATGTTTCAGTTCCTAAAAATATTTTGGATTCAATAGCAAGTCTTTATGTTTTTCTGTATAATATTTATTTAAATTGTCCTATCTTTTAGTTCCCAGGAGATTTGAAGCTTCAGTCACGATGGTCACGCTAAACGACTTTACCAGCATTACGTGGCGATCGTAACAGTAGCCCAAATAGCGTGGAAATACGGTCGTGACTGGAATGGATACTTAAAATCGGGATTCCGATAAATGAACTAGTCAAATATGTAATTTTTAATACAAAAAAATGATCCTAAGTATATGGTTCCAGACCTATATCCGAACCCTAATTTGAAGCATCAATTGAAGTCACTGCCGCGAAATTGTCTTACAGCGTGAAAAGTTAAGACTTAGCAAAAATGTTTATTCTAGCTGTTTACCTAAGGCTATCCAAAATTTAGGTCAAGTTAACCTGATTTTTCACACAGCCTAAGGAAATCTATTCTATGTCCTTCTTAAAAATAAGGATATAGAGCAGATTACCACAGCTGTCCGATTAATCAAGTATTTCCTTCTGATTTCGAAAATGGTTTAGTATCTAAAGCTGATATTATTAGACTAACATCAACAGCCATGTTTGTTTGCCTATTGTTTTCAGTTGACCAAAAAACAACAGGTAAAAAAACAGATGTTGATGTAACCTAAACTTAGTTTTGGTAAATTTGTTATAATCTGACGCAGGAAAAAGATGAAAATGAAATAAATTTGGACCTATTTATGAGCGATGTTTATGTTTGTAAGGCTTTAGTTAAATCTTCAGCTAGTCAGGTAGGAAAAAGATGGAAATGAAATAAATTTGGATCTATTTATGAAGGTTACTTTGGTTTATGGTTTTGGTTAAATATTCAGCTATTCAAAAAAATATCAGTACAAAATTTGGCAATTATGGAAATGATTTATATGCTATTTGTGTTTTTGTGCAATATTTTGGAAAGCTATTGATTGTTAGGAAATGAAAAGCTTTAGGTTTAGAAGAGACATCCTTAACCAGTTGTCCCCCATTAGAAAGATTCTTATTGACTATTAGCTCAATTTGATGTCATTCACATTAACCTTAAGGCCTTCAGATAAGCAGTTTGTTTTGCAATAATCATGCAATCCATAAATACATGTGCAAATTGAAATTCTGATTAACAACAACTCGTATCGAACTTGGAGTCTTTTTTTCGGCCGTTATTTAGGTTCGTCACGCAAAGGCGTGAGACCCAAAAACGACCTTGAAGAAGATCACACGCAAGTTTGACATCGGATTTAGAGCATAGTAAAGTTT